AAGCAGTTCAACAAACAGGACATCTTTGAATATGGGAACTTTCTTGCCAGTATTAAAATATAAAACATCTTGACACCTGTTTTATAGCCAGAAAAGGTAAAACCTAGTGTTATAGGACATCTTTGACTTAGTTTTTTTGTCTACCTTAAAAAAAGTAATGTGTAGGACTCATAATATACCACTAGGTGGCAGACATACTATTCAATATTCTTAGGTTTTTTCGGTAAAGTCACGTAGGTAAAAACATTAAAAAGTAAAATAGCTCCTGCAATCTCTCATTTACTTGATACAGCTGTCGTGGCTGTGACAGTACCACCTGAAGACGTAAGCTTGTGTTGCCTCCGAAACGTCGTGATTTTTTTATTTTTATTTTACTTTTTTATGTTTTTACCTACGTGACTTTACCGAAAAAACATAAGAATATGAATCTTTGCAGTCACGAAAGCTTCAAATCTAGAAATACTATTCAATGTTTGTTAACAATCAGGAAATAATGTCTTATATAACTATTATACATTTGCAGGATCATAAAATAAAGGAGTAACACGAGTGTTATGTAGACAGTCTATATTTAAGTATATTATTGATATATCATAATGTTCCAATCGAGTTAACAATCCTTAATTTCCATTCAGAACTCTGGTGTCAGAACTAACTTTGAGGTTCCGTCAATAGAATATTTATCCACAATGGGGGCGCATCTTGTATAAGGTACGCTAACATGTGCGTTACATGCCAATCAAATTGTAAAAAAAAACATTTTCAGCAATGGAATTTGCCAAATTTTGTGAAACAAAATTGTTTAGATTTTTGCTTCTGTGCAAACATTGGTGACTGGGCTCAGATCAGCTCACTGCACTTGAAAACCTTGTTACACACAGTTCATACTCAGGGTGGCTGAGACAAGAAATAAGACCCAGGATCTGTACCAGTGGTTCAGCACCATGACATGGTCTAATGTGCCACCTCGCCACCTCCAAAATGCAACCACCTATAATCAAGATACGCAGATTAACTCAGTTAATGTCTGCTATGCAAAGTAAATGACAAATTCCCCTTATCCATCACAAGCGGGTAAATGTGCATTATTTTTTGTCATCACAAAGGTATTGTGTTCATGCGGTGAATTTAAAATGTAAATTTAAACCACACAAATTCCTGCCTTGAAAATGAAAAGGTTTTATTTATCTGTTATTTATTTTTGATGGACATTCCGCTAACCAATGTGCTCATGTGTAAGTTAATACAAAACAATGATCTTGCTACAATTCACTTTGGGTTACTAAACCTAAAATTTCAGTGGCCCATGTATGACTTCTGGCAATGTACAGTTCAAGAATGTACACACCTCGCATGGTAAACCGACCTAAAATCAACACTTTTGAGAACAGCAAACGGGGACAATGTTTTGGGTGTCATCATAACAGACAATAGATCTCTCAGCATTTACTCCGGCAGTCTTTCTGTTTGCCTTCAAGTATGCATGTATGGCTGAACGTATGTAAGCGAACTGCTGCAGGAGTGATCCAGCATGTGTGAGATCAGGAAGGAGGGCCTTAAATGGGCTGTGCTTCCTGTGGGAAATGGCCCCGCATCCTGCCCGGTCTCCTGCCCTTCCCGTGCGTACACACACAGCCACGCGTTCAGTTCACTCCCTCACATGGGCTGTACCACTGGGGCAATAGTGGGGGTGCCACACTGAGGTGCTGTAACAAATCTCAGCATCGCACCTTTAAATGTCAACTCTGTTTACGGTAATGGTTCCTCTAGACTCCCCAGTGGACTGTGTTAGGTGAATCTGGCTGCAGCAAAAGATAACAGAGAAATCCAATTGAAACTTAGCCTTCACATGGGAGTTAAGAGGGGTTTTTGTCATGGCTGAAGTTTACTAAAGTCAAGCGCAAAGCACAATTTCATATGAAATTTAAATCAACTCAAACACTTTTAAATGATAGTACATATAAGTAGTCGTAACTAGTGACATTCCCCTGTTGTAATTACTGGCGAACATGTCTTATGTAATGGCTTCGTTTTATGTCTGTTGTACGAGGCTGGAGGATTGTGAAATAGTAATAGAGAACATGAAACATTTTGTATAACCCAGTCCAATAAATGAGCCTCTTTGCCATCAAATCTTGCCTGGTACATGAACACATGTTTTCAGAGCTATGTCTGTCATACTCAGCGATATAACCAATATCTCTCCCCATTACACCACCTATTCACTGTGCTTCTTGCCGGAGGCTATAGCCTGACCACTTGCGCAAGTATTCACCTGGCACGGTACCAAGTATTAGCCTATAGAGCGAGGTTAGGAAGGAAACTGATGTTATGATGAAAAATGATGGCTGAAAATTTCAAATATGTGGAGTTTTTTAAATGTATTTTGAATGGGTTTTTTCCCTCCAAGTTCACACCAACCATTTAGGCTAAACATTCCAAAACAGGAATAACTTTTATTGTCAATGATAAACAGTATTTACTATTCCAAACTACCCAAATCCAAAAGTGAATATTTGACTACTTTTAGGTGAAAAGGAGTGGTAGTGTTCGTTATACAGCATTTGAATAGACCGCACACATTTCAAAAAATAACTTGAATTTAAACAATTAAAAGCTTACAATAAAGTTAAAAGCATTTTAGCAACTTTAAAGATTAATTTGTTCATAATACATTCACAACTACAACTCCAGTAATCAACTTCTTGAGTTCACCGAATCCGAATGAGAAATCCCACATTCTTTTGACACAATTCAATAGATTGAATCAAATAACCACAAAGAACTGCACTGCAGGCTATTGCAATGCTCATGGTCAAGTTCTGTAGAGGAACACAAAGTGGGTTTTAAAAAAAAAATTACTCAATGACCCGATTACAGCACGGGGCCCTTTGGACTTAATCCAGTTCCTGCCAAGTGAACTCCCACTGGTTAAACTCCAAGATATCACATGTTTTTTTGATGACATCAACACTTTTCTGTACCGGATGTACCTTCAGCGGTCCCTGTTATGACCTTTGACATTTCTAACCGAAAATATTTGAGCTAGAACAATGAGGAAAATGTAGAGACCAGCGAAATTCAATGAAATCATATGGCTAGACAAATAATTTACATTTGCTGTAAAGCATAGACTCAAATGAGCTCTTTGCTTTCCTGTGTACCCTTTTACAGCCTAAAACATGTTGGGTAGTGATTCACTGATATCATTGTTTCCAATGACACAGTGTTTTCTAGGTCAACTGACAAACATCAAAGTACATTGAATAGGATTTGTCTTTCGATTGTGCTTTTTAAATGCTTGCATCTAAATCAGTCTACAAGGCATGGCATTGGAAGCTTTCTAGTTGACGGAAACGTAGGGATTACGCCGCATAGCTTTCTACATTAATCTGCAGCCACATGCAGCCTTACCAGCCGTAGGAAGCCTGACTACATTCAAAGCGCTTCTGAATGAGTTTGTACGGAGCAAGCACACTCATGTTTTACAATCCATTCCCGAAAAATGGATGTGATGCAATTTGTTTTTATTTTTTGTCTCTTAAAAGGAGGATGATTCATGCCATAGTAGTTTTTACGCAATGACTAACTGCAATAAAGAACAGCACACATGTCCTTTCTCCTCTATAAACAGAACTTGGTAAACAGCAAACTTGGAAATATTTCCAATAACCCACATAAACACTCAAACATTTTAATTGTAAGAATACATTTTTTTGTCACAATTATTTAAGCTAAGAGCGATAATAGTTGTAATAATTGCTATGGAACTCACTATGTTTTCTAAAAATAATAATCATTCACTTTCGGAAACAACATATCTGGCAAAGCAAAATATGATTTAAGACTAAATGCTTTCCTTCTGCAGAGCATTCACCTCTTACACCTACACTGTACTGTATGCCAGAACAGAGCTGTTTTCACAGAAACAATGCAAAAGAAAATGTCCATTGACATTACTTTTAGAGTAATTGTCAAATGATCGAAATAACTTTTTAAACTTTCTACTAAACTTTTGCAATAAATTGTGACCTGTCAAAACAGGTCTTGCTAAACAAAATTATTTTCATCCTGTGCTTGTTGATATTTCCATTTTCAACATGCATACTTTCTAAAACTCTTGGGAAAATGTTCAAATAGAACGTTCCTTTAAAAAATAAATTTAAAAATGTGGAAGTTTTATTAATAGTTCAATACCACGTCAAAACAGTGAGCACGCCCTTAAGATATTCTTTGGGAACCAAATGAAAAGTATGTTTGGTCCCCTCTCATAAACTCTGTATTATTGGGAGGAGAGGGTAAGCCCCTATTAAAAGCTTAGCACCATCTTCTACATTCTTATTGTCAAGTCATTGTTGATCGTCTTTTTCCAACCCTCTACACACCAAGATAATTCCTATATTATCACAAAGGCTAAAATGTCTTAATGCTTGTATATTTCTGGCAAATATATGCCACACTTACTTATTTTAAATAAAGAACTTGAGGCTTTGCAAAACCAAGGGAAAGCTGAACATGTCAGAACACAATTCAATTTCCAATTGCACAAAAAACCTTTCCATAAAATCAATTTATGATAAATCCATTGTATCTCAAAACCTGTGGAATATTTGGAGCTGTAGAGCTCTTTGTCAAACAACTGCTGGATTAGGGTATCTATGCCGTCCGAGTCGAGGGGTTATTTTACCATATTCACCATCCTGCTCGATGCAGGTTAGTGATGGTTAGAGTATATAAAGACTGCAAAGTACAGTGCAAGGATTGCATTTGCTACACTGCACTCTGCATAACAGAAGTCCACGATATCTGTTATGCGTGGTTGCTACCTGTGCAATATCTATCCAGGTTCAAACTGCTTAGCTTCCAAGACATGACGAGATCAGGTGAAATTCCAGGGTGACCGGTGATTGGCACAAAGTAATTACAAGGTAATAAAACGATGCACTGTCCTGATTCTAGACTTGGTTGAATAGAGATGCAGGTGATAGGAAACCGGTTACCTTAATGTCCTCAATGTCAGCTGTTTCCAGTTTCTGCTTGAAGTGGGTGTCCTTCTCCAGCACATCGATCACCTCTCGTAGGTAGCGGTCATAGTAGAGCCCAGTGTCCTGAGAGAGACGCGTGTCAGATTCTCCCTGAGCGGCATCACAATTTTTCGTGTTCATTTTCCAGTGTACATCAACTGCGGCCTACCTCATGATGTACACTATGCTTCCAAAGAGACCGGCAGTTCTGTGCAATGCCCCATTGCTTAAGTGCATCAAAATCACTTTTGTTTTGGTGCCATTTCTTAATTACTTTAATTAACTTTTGATTTTGCTTGGTAGTAGGGTTTTCATTTACTTCGTAGTGGCTGTATATGGGATTTGGTCCTCGTGTGTAATTAATATACAGCGTTATGGGATGTTATCAGCATTAATGATGCAATATAAAATGTAAGTAATATTTATTATTATCTAGGTTATCCTCTCGTACATGTTATTTGTTGTGGCAGCCATTCAACTGCTAGGTCAGCCATTGGAACTTACTGTAAAAATGCTTTCTAAACAAACAAATGTGCAATACGAGGACAACGTGGTAGTGGTGCAATTTGAGAGCTGTAAGAGTACTGTATTATACTGGAACATCGTTTACCCACTGATTTCTCACGGCTCCCTTCCGTTTCGTCTCCACTAGTGACTGATCATCGTTAAGCTGATGGCTCTATCTTACAAAGGAGTGCATTTACATTGGTGGCCGACAGGTAGAGGCTTTTAAATGAAATGCATTTTTTCTATTAATTCTCCATCTTATTTTATTGGGGTATCTAAAAATGTATCACCCTGTACACTATAGATAATTACATATAAAATACGCCCAAGGTACAAGATAACTATGTTGGCAATATTTCCGTGGACCACTAGAGCTACAGTGAGCTAAACCCTTAAACGGTTGTATAAAAAAAACATCAACATGATTTTCTCCACGATATTTTCTTAAATAATGACTTTCTTAAATGACAAATGCAAATAAAAATGCTCGAAGGTTAGGTAGAACTCACCTCTATCTGCTTTTCATCTTTTGTATCCTTAACCTCATTATGCTCCTTTAGTTTTGATTTGTCGATAGGAATAGCGCTCACGAAACTCAGCAATGCAAGCAGGAGGGTAAGGGCCAGAGCCCTTGATTCAAGTGCCATTCTCATCTGCAAGAGACATTTCATTTATAAGGTCACACAGCCTGCTGCAGCAGTATATACGCTGCTCAGTGAAGCTTAAAATGTTTTCAGCTTTATTGTATGGATGTCCAAAATACACTTCATTTTTAATATAGAGTAAAATATTAACAATATTTGTTACTACAATATGGTCATAAAACATCGTTCACTTAACGTCATTCTAAAAAGAGTGTTCATATCCAATGCATGTTCTTTGGTCACTGTCGCCTGTTGACACTGATGATTGGAAATGCATTCTGGCCGTACAAGAGTATGTCCTCCTCCTGATTAAATATATCAAATATCCACTTAATTTAACGTACACTGAGACCACACATCTCTTTCAATTGCAAGGGAACACACGATGAAAAAAGGCCGAGCACAAATACATGATTATAATTCCTGTCGCACATTATTGTAATTGTTATTTGTTTACTGTTAGTGTCACGTGATAAAATAGGCACCTGTAACTCAATACGTAGCTCGTTGTGTCAGAGAATAGCTTTGCAATGTGAAGTCACAAAACTAATCAATAGCCTTTATCTACCCAACAGTAGGACGGACACCTTTATATGGCCCTCAAAGTAGTAGTATTACAATGGAAATAAACCAGAAATGTGTCATTCTCACAGCTGCAATATGCTACATGAAAAACTCCATAACATAGAATTATGTTGTTTGTGTATTTTGAGACGATCAACTCACTACACTTTAGCACCTGGTTTAATTACCGACTGCTGCCTGAATTAGAACAAAGGATCCCAGTGGTGTCTATTAAATGCTCTAACATGGTGTCAACCTTCTAAGAAACAGCACATGCATTTAATTGTATTACATTTCCATTAGCTAATTAATGTAAATAAGCCTACGTGTCAAACTAATGTAATCCCGTTTTAATATACAGTATCATGTCATATAACTGACATGTAAATACTGTAGTCAAAGTGTATTTATGCTCAAGGGGGCATAGGATGGTGCTCATTTCCATTTGTGCCAGTTACACATTCCCATAACAGAGGCCAAAATATCCAAAGGACAAAAACAATGATACCAAAATGTGTACACCTGGCACTGTATGTCTGCTTACTCCAAAGGTCTGACTGCCACGTGTGCATAGAGTGCAAATTGATTAGGTTATAAACAAATAGCACAGGCCTGAAGCTTATTTGATCAATAAGCATACTTAAACCTTACAGCCATGCGCTTGCTTAATATAACACTAATGCCACGACATTAATGTTAACGTCAATGTAGGCGGAATACAGAAAAATCAGGGTTAGTGGTGATTTGGGTGGCCACCTTACATAAAAGTGGTGATGATGCATTGGCAGTGGTGCTGCTACAGGTCCAAAAAAACTAATTCGGCAATTACACTGAACTATTCTAATTTTACCAGGTAAGACCCACTGAGTTATATAGCTCTTTTTTCAAGAGCGACATGGCCACAAATGGTGGCTCAACTAAATGGTTTATCATGTGGAAAAGTATAGCAACCAAGTACTCTAAACGCATGATTCTAAATGTGGAGGGAAAAACCAGAGGGCCAGGAGAAAAATCCATGCAACCACGGGGAGAGAAACACGCAAATTCCAAATATACAGCAGGAGTCAGGGTTGGGATCGAACCCACGAGACCTCCATACCAGGCGAGGTAAAGGAAGCCATATACGGGCGACGTTTCGGTAAATTAACCTTCCTCATAGCACAAACAGGTTGTCATGGGATGTGGGGCTACGTTGTGAGTATATGACAGTGCAGTAAAATATATTATTGTACAATATACTTCTATGACCAGACGTCATTGGACACATCACCTGGAACTCTGCCAAAATCTAAACGTGACTCTAAAGCTCACCTGTTACCTCACAGCTAGACGGCGATTTCTTTAAATAACATAATTTTGTTTTTCGATTGAAAGCTTTCGTGACTGCAGGGATTCATCTTCTTGGTTCTTTCGGTAAAGTCACGTAGAAGGGAAATAATAAAGTAATAAAAATAAAACATAATAAAATAATATATTATTTTATTATGTTTTATTTTTATTATTTATAATATATTATTTTATTATGCTTTATTTTTATTATTTCCCTTCTACGTGACTTTACCGAAAGAACCAAGAAAAACATTATTTTGCTCCCCGCCACCAAACCACAACAATCGGCATGGGTGGGCGCTACGGTGGCGAGATGTTAACTACCTCGCCTTGTATACAGGAGGTCGTGAGATTGATCCCAACCCAGACACCTGCTTTACATTAAGAGTTTGCGTGTGTGCGTCTCTCTGTCTGCGTGGTCGCGTGGATTATTCTCCGGGTTATTTCCCTCCATATACAAAAAAACCCATTCGTTTCGAGTCATTCGACTGCTAGAAATGTTCCACATCACGATACGCCACTTTCGTCGGGCTATCATTTGTGGCCCAGGTCGCTGCTGAAACAGAGCTACAGTAAATAGCTCGGTGGACCTTACGTGGTAAACAATGTTTAAGTTTAATTGTAATTATGTTCAGGGCTCCCGCCTCGACCGCGTGGCTCGACCAAGGTGCCGTGGACGCGGTGTTGTGACGCCGGGCGGGATGGCGCCGCACCTGAACCGATACTTTTAAATGATTTTTCACAGCAACGAAGCCATCACGCAGCCCCGGAAACACACCACCACACACACAGCCACACCGCGAGGTGTTATTTATAGCAGCTTCTCGTCTTCGGCGCCACAATGAACGTCTTCACCATCACCTGCGTGACAGCGAGCGCCGTCATCAACAGTGCAGCCCCGGCAAAGTCACCTGGCAGGCCGACAAAAACAACGCCCTGGCCACGAATACCGCGTTTGTTTAACGAGACACGACGCAGAGATGTATGGAGAAATGAACGCGACAGGAAACACCAACAACACCGGGGCGATAAAATTCAGCGGACTTACCCTCACGCCTCCACTGTACTGTACGTGGCATACGCTCAGCGACAACTAACGCGGTGACGTCAGGGGCTTGCGTGATGACATCACCGCACAGTCTCCATCGTGAACGTGGCCTTACGCGATTGCGTCATCGTACGCGATGGCGTCATTTGCCGGGCGCACGAGATCCGCGACGTTCGGCAACATCCGACCTTAACGCCATGACGTCACGCGCCATGGCGAAAGGAACACTGTCGGCGTTTTGCCTGATGACGTCACTCGCTCGATAGCTCTTCAGACTTCGCGGGGCTGGGGGGCGGGCGGGCGCTCGGCGGGGGGCGGGGTGCGTGACGTCATCGCGCGC